TACATCAAACATCTAGTTGGTTAAACATTCAACAAAAATTTATGTTGTGTGTGTCTTGTTTATAATGTACTAATCCATCTTCTCTCTCTCTCTCTCTCTCTCTCTCTCTCTCTCTCTCTGCAATGGTTTACTTCACTCTAACCTCGAGTTTCAGATGCAAGATCTAATACTACATGCTCAGTTTTCACTCTCATATCCAGTGCATCGTATTACGAAGTTTCAGATTACATTGCAATTTTTCTTACATTGCAATAAAGTAATTCCTATTAATTTCTTGCTTCCTTTATTAATTTTTTTTATCTGATACTTCTTTTTCTTCTCGCTTTATTGCTCTTTCAGATTAAATAATATTCTTGTGTGTGCGCATGTAATTATCATGAAAACACATATATGTGTGTGTGTACGCGTACATACGTAAATATTAAATATGTTAAATTTACTCTAATTTTCTTTCATTATGTATGTATTTTATTGTACTTTTTTTACTACTATTTTGATAATGATATCGTTTTACACATTGTTATCTATTTTACCTGTCACACTTCTTATTTAAATTTAACATATATTATACTTTACTTTTATTTATTTAATAAAAGTTTTTCTTACTTGTTTTATGCCTTACATTTTATGCATTAGCCTTCCTTCTTTTTGATAATACCTATGTAGCTTTTAATTATTATGAAATATGTTTTACTTTACAAATATAATAATCTTACTACGACGAACTGTTTAAAATTGATTCAGTATGAAATGTGTCAAAAAAACAATTTTATTTCTTAGCGCCACTTTACTTAATACATATTGAGATAATCGTTTCAGTCGTACTTTTCTTTATTAGCCGTTATGCAGATAATTAATAAGAACAATTGTTTTCAGTGGAGAATATCCAGTGGTCGCGACAAAAGCCCATGCCCAGTTTAGAGCCGAGCTCTAATGAAATAACCGATGCATCTTTGTCGACCGTCGTGAGAAGCGAAGGTTCGCTCGCTTTTCATTATTCGCTTAAGCTTTTTTTCTTTTGCTATTACTAGCGCAGATTTTTGTATTAAACGAGGTTGAAGCTTCAGGAAAATATGAGATACTTTAAATAGAAACGCATTATATTGACACAAAGTCATTTAATTTTGTTTTTAATCGCGTTTAAAGATTTCTGAAATGAAATAAATATTTTACTTGCTTTGATAGATACGAAATTCAAATTGTAATATTATAATGTTACTATAAAAATGTTACTATAAAATGACGAAAGAGAAAACAGATTTTATTTTTGCCACGAATGCATGTTAACAAAATCAGAATATTCAAATTTTATATTTACGCGATTTTTTTATACAAAAAGAATTTTTCGACATTCTCAATTAATTATTTTATTGTGTAAACATTCAAATTAATTATATACACATATAGCTATAAATACAATTACACTTGAAAAATACTCTTAATATTTTATATAATGTAAAATATCTTTATTGAATTATAATTGTATTTATTCCAATGTATATAGTTAATTTGAATGAAATAACTAAGATTTTTAATATTGTGTGAGAAATTATAAAACATAAAATGTAAAAAATAAAATTTAAATATTTTGATTTTCTCAACACACATGCATTCGTGTTATGGCGGGAATAAAAAGTTTGTTTATCTTTTTGTCATTTTAATACGACGAATATTATAAGTGGCAATTCTGACTTTCTACATCGCCGTCGTTACAATTACGCACGCTGGCGACAGTTGCGGTGTTGTCGAAACAAGTTTGAATATTCAAAGCTCCGACTGTGCAAACCTCGCGGAACTTTCAGAGGAAACAAAAATCAGATTATCCGACTGCGCGACGAAGGTGAGATTTGACAATTGTACTGGGAATTCAATGGAAACCAGATGCCTCGTGAGACTTGTACATCATGATTGCAGATCTCCATTATTCGCTAACTGTGGTTAACATTACGCGTATTAATTTGATTATTCTGCTTTAAAATTATCTCGATTTTATATGCATTATGCCATCAACAACAACAAATTTTGATTAACATTTTGTTTTTTGCAAGCAATAATATGGGTTACCAACCTTATTCTTAAGTACATGCGGTACTTTTCGGGGTCGTAAATTCTGGCTACACATTATCTAATTGAAATTTTATACTTGTAAAATTATATTAATAATAATTGTTAATGAAAATTATACTGAAAATTATAGAAAAATTATACTGCTTCCTTCCGCTTCCGATCATCTCTTTTTTTTTTAGAAAAATGAATGTGTGTACTTTTTTTGTGATTAAGATATGATAACTTTTGCAGTGTTTTTTTTACACATTGTACACTGAAAAAACTGGAGTTTTTCAAAAAATTTTAATACTTTAATTAAAAAAAAAATTTTCTTTGAATTTTTTATATAATATCACAAATTTATGTATATAATACATAAAGTATTTAAATATTGTTTTCCAATATATGAAAATAAATGTGATAGTATAAAGACCCATTTATTACGTACAGTTTTAAGTGATACCTTAAAATATTAAAATTATTATTAGCAACTTTTAATATAAAGAGTTGCGTTGATTTTCAAGGCTTCATCTGTTTTTTTATATCTGAATGATGATATTTATATTATTTTATAAAGAAAAACCAAAAAGTTCTAAATTATTTTAATTTATAAAGCCTTTTTAAAAATAAAGTCCTTGATTTTTAAAAATCTGTGAGTGATGGAAATTTGTTGATCTTATATTCTCTTCTCAGCAATTAATAATATATAAAGGTCATCGTTCAGGTGTTGAGAAATAGAAACCTTGTAAATCAATACGATTGGAATTGATACCAATAACATACTTTTTTATAGCGATATTCTAGTGGGGAAAATATTTTATACTTTATTACCATAGAACAAGTGTTTACAAAATTTAAATTTCTTTTCTCGCCCACGAGATGAAATTTATGTGTATCGGATTTATGTGTCCCGCTCACGGTATACGTATGGCCAGAACATTCGTAATTCAAGCAATAAAATGTTGATCTATGCGATCAGTGAGGAGGAACGCTTGAAAACACGTCACCTTCCGCAAATACGTTGCCGCGACCCGAAATTCGCCGGGATACGTCGTCTTAAATCATCGCCCCCGACGTAATGCGAGAACTTACACGCCGCCGGGCAGTGGCGGAACTTTCCTACGGAAAGTTTCGCGGAAGGCGCGAAGTTTATTCCACAAAACTTCCAGCAACGTGCCATGCCGCCTCGGAGTCCTCCTTCCCATACCGAAAGCCTCTACCTCCTGTACCGTCCTCCGCCACGACAAACGCGGAACTCTCGACGGGATTTTGATGAAATCCCATGCGGTTTATGAACTACCGCGCTCGGTCCAACTATGGCAAGTAATCTGCACCCGGGACGCCAACGCCGGTATCCAAACTTGTTTCGATTATCATGTAAACTGACGGGTATGAGCGAAGTCGCGGCAATTCAGATAGCAATGAGTTGGACGCGATTTGGTTTACGATCTCCCCGGCGGACAGACAATGAGAGTCGCGTTACTCATCGCAAAGGTAATGCAAAAGTACGCTAACGACGACGTCCACCATAAGCAATGTTTCCAGAAAGAATACAAATATACAGCAAAAATATTGGAAAGATTCACCACGTCTCCCGTTATCTGAAGTAGAAGATACTATAAATTTTTTAAGAGTTTGCCCTTAGCTTTCGTTTTTGAATATTCCACTTATTCGCGGCACGAATGGTCGTCTTATATAGTATCGTTTAATAGTCACAAAATGTCGTGTAATATACCCTTGGTCAAAAATATTAGACACATTATTAATCATTATTTAATGTTTTAGCTTAATTGATTTATAATTGCTGTGAATTATTTTTTGTTTCAACTCTTTAAACTTACATATCGTTCGAAAGTATCAATAAAGGGTAAACTTTGTAAAAGAAATAGATAAGAAAAATTGTTTTTACATTCTACATTAAATAATTTTTAACTCAAATTGATATTTTCTGTACATTTTTAAAAAGGAGAATGTAATATTAAAACTCACGGAATTTGTATCACAAAAAACTAACGCTAATCAGTGTTTATTAGCACTTTTATTTTTCTTGCAGACTGTTTCTCACTTTTCCTTACACAACCAATAATTGTAAAATAGAGTACATTACTTACTCACAACTTTTAACCTTGATTAAATATTTGTTTGCTAGTGTTTGTTTTAAATTTCCTTTTTTGTTTTTTGCATAGAAATTAAATTAAAATATGTACGTTAACATTTCTTTGGTTCAAATATAAAAAAGATCATTAGAACCCAATCGATTAATGCATTTGGCAATTAGTTGACGTTTTCTTTTGCAAAAGTAGCATTTATTGAAACTTATGAGCGGTACTGTATAATGTCGGTAATCAATCGAAAACAACACAAGCAAAAGAAGAAAGAATTTTAGATCAATAAATAATATATAGGTAATACCTTTAGTTAAAGCTGTATATTATTAAGACTTTGATATATTATTGATATACGATGATTGTTTTTAGAAACGCGAATCCGTGGCAGGCCGAGTCACGAAGAGAATCACGAAGCTGAGAACGTCATTGATACTAATAGCCATAAAAACGTCGACAATGACATCGGGCAGCGAAGAATCGACAACACGGCGCAATCGATGTCATCTAAAAGCAGCACGTGGCATTGCGTGACGCGATCCAGCGCAGCGATTTGCATAATCATGCTCTCCGCCCTGTCGTAGTCGTCGCGGAGTGAGGATGATTGGTCGATGTCCTTCCAGCTTGCAGTATAAATTCTGCAATCTTTCCTCAACCGCGCAAGGGATCAATTAACTGATGATAGCGCACTTATTGAAGGATTTGCGGCTATCAACGGCCGAAAAGAAGACGATTATCAT